TTCCAAGCGTATCTATATATATTATCATGTACTACGACGTCAATATAGGTCTTCTCATGTAGTGCTCTGTCTTATGGTGCAGTACCAAGCGTATCTATATATATTATCATGTACTACGACGTCAATATAGGTCTTCTCATGTAGTGCTCTGTCTTATGGTGCAGTACCAAGCGTATCTATATATATTACCATGTACTACGACGTCAGTATAGGTCTTCTCATGTAGTGCTCTGTCTTATGGTGCAGCTCCAAGCGTATCTATATATATTATCATGTACTACGACGTCAATATAGGTCTTCTCATGTAGTGCTCTGTCTTATGGTGCAGCTCCAAGCGTATCTATATATATTATCATGTACTACGACGTCAATATAGGTCTTCTCATGTAGTGCTCTGTCTTATGGTGCAGTACCAAGCGTATCTATATATATTATCATGTACTACGACGTCAATATAGGTCTTCTCATGTAGTGCTCTGTCTTATGGTGCAGTACCAAGCGTATCTATATAGATTATCATGTACTACGACGTCAATATAGGTCTTCTCATGTAGTGCTCTGTCTTATGGTGCAGCTCCAAGCGTATCTATATATATTATCATGTACTACGACGTCAATATAGGTCTTCTCATGTAGTGCTCTGTCTTATGGTGCAGCTCCAAGCGTATCTATATATATTATCATGTACTACGACGTCAATATAGGTCTTCTCATGTAGTGCTCTGTCTTATGGTGCAGTACCAAGCGTATCTATATAGATTATCATGTACTACGACGTCAATATAAGTCTTCTCATGTAGTGCTCTGTCTTATGGTGCAGCTCCAAGCGTATCTATATATATTATCATGTACTACGACGTCAATATAGGTCTTCTCATGTAGTGCTCTGTCTTATGGTGCAGTTCCAAGCGTATCTATATATATTATCATGTACTACGACGTCAATATAGGTCTTCTCATGTAGTGCTCTGTCTTATGGTGCAGCTCCAAGCGTATCTATATATATTATCATGTACTACGACGTCAATATAGGTCTTCTCATGTAGTGCTCTGTCTTATGGTGCAGTACCAAGCGTATCTATATATATTATCATGTACTACGACGTCAATATAGGTCTTCTCATGTAGTGCTCTGTCTTATGGTGCAGCTCCAAGCGTATCTATATATATTATCATGTACTACGACGTCAATATAGGTCTTCTCATGTAGTGCTCTGTCTTATGGTGCAGTACCAAGCGTATCTATATATATTATCATGTACTACGACGTCAATATAGGTCTTCTCATGTAGTGCTCTGTCTTATGGTGCAGTACCAAGCGTATCTATATATATTATCATGTACTACGACGTCAATATAGGTCTTCTCATGTAGTGCTCTGTCTTATGGTGCAGCTCCAAGCGTATCTATATAGATTATCATGTACTACGACGTCAATATAGGTCTTCTCATGTAGTGCTCTGTCTTATGGTGCAGTACCAAGCGTATCTATATAGATTATCATGTACTACGACGTCAATATAGGTCTTCTCATGTAGTGCTCTGTCTTATGGTGCTGTACCAAGCGTATCTATATATATTATCATGTACTACGACGTCAATATAGGTCTTCTCATGTAGTGCTCTGTCTTATGGTGCAGCTCCAAGCGTATCTATATATATTATCATGTACTACGACGTCAATATAGGTCTTCTCATGTGGTGCTCTGTCTTATGGTGCAGTACCAAGCGTATCTATATATATTATCATGTACTACGACGTCAATATAGGTCTTCTCATGTAGTGCTCTGTCTTATGGTGCAGCTCCAAGCGTATCTATATATATTATCATGTACTACGACGTCAATATAGGTCTTCTCATGTAGTGCTCTGTCTTATGGTGCAGTACCAAGCGTATCTATATATATTATCATGTACTACGACGTCAATATAGGTCTTCTCATGTAGTGCTCTGTCTTATGGTGCAGTACCAAGCGTATCTATATAGATTATCATGTACTACGACGTCAATATAGGTCTTCTCATGTAGTGCTCTGTCTTATGGTGCAGCTCCAAGCGTATCTATATATATTATCATGTACTACGACGTCAATATAGGTCTTCTCATGTAGTGCTCTGTCTTATGGTGCAGTACCAAGCGTATCTATATATATATTATCATGTACTACGACGTCAATATAGGTCTTCTCATGTAGTGCTCTGTCTTATGGTGCAGCTCCAAGCGTATCTATATATATTATCATGTACTACGACGTCAATATAGGTCTACTCATGTAGTGCTCTGTCTTATGGTGCAGCTCCAAGCGTATCTATATATATTATCATGTACTACGACGTCAATATAGGTCTTCTCATGTGGTGCTCTGTCTTATGGTGCAGTACCAAGCGTATCTATATCTTCACATTAGACTATCATGTGCTACAAGGTATAATATATATATACTCACACGCAAATGAAACGCAAGTCGAGTATGCAGTATACATGCTCTTTATTTTCAACAGTAAAGACAAGAAATACTAATAGGGCAAGATTGACCAAAAAATGACTGAAGACAGTTTATTGGATTAAAAGGCAGATGACATAATTGTATTTTTAAATGTTAAGGGCTTACACAGTTTCAGGTCAATACCCAAAATGTCGGTCAATACCTGGTGTGACCACCATTAGCATCGATCACTACCACACATCTCCTGTACATTGAGTGGATCAGACGACTTGTGAAGGCCCTAGGGATCCTCCTGCACACACCCAGAGCAGCTGTGCGAAGTTCATCGGCAGTTGTAGGGACTGGGCGCACATTGTGCAGACGCCTTTGAACCTCATCCCTCAAGTGTTGATGGGGTTCAGATCAGGGCTGAGGGCTGGCCACGGTAAAACACGGATGTTGTGTGGTTGCAGAAAGGCCATGGTAGCTCTGGCAACATGAGGACGAGCGTTGTCCTGCTGGAAAATGTGTTGTTGATGTTGTGCAAAATATGGAACAACGAGGGGTCTGATCACTTGGTCGATATACCGCTAAGCAATGACGCTGTGTCCCCGACCTTGACCAACATTCAGGAAGTACATTGGTCCAAGTCTCGCATTAAGTCCAATCCCTGCCCATATCATGACGCTAGGTCCACCCCATGGATCCCTTTCCACAACGTTTCTGTCAGCGAAACGATCACCTCGACGCCGCCAAATTCTAACTCTTCCTTCTGTATCGGAGACACAAAAGCGAGAAGATGACACACCAATTGTGATGGCCCTGTGCCCACTGAAGTCGTGCTTGTCGATGCCGTGGTTGGAGAAGAGGACGACGTGCTGGTCGGCGACATCTGAAGATGTTGGAACGGAGACGTCGGATCACAGTGTCCCGGCTAATGTGTCGATTATGTGTTCCTATGGTCTCTCGAGCACTTTCACTTGCAGTTAGGAACGGATGTCGCTGGTGTTGACGGGTAATCTGCCGATCTTGTCGAGGTGTGGTGACCGCTCCGAGGAAGGTCATCTGTGGTCTGTGTAGCATTGTATCGATGCAGGAGATGGTAAATTGTGGTTATGTTAACGTTAAAACGACGGGAAACATCTTGGACAGACTCTCCAGCTTCCAAACGTCCGACAGCCTGGTTTCTCTGAATTTGAGTTGGGCGTGGCATTGTTGACCAAGGAGTGGTAGGTCCAAGAATCGGCCACAGTTTTATACCCACTACAGTTCGTGACAGATCGTGCATTTTCGATTTCACGAGAAATGGGTGCATGATACCCACATATTAATTGAAATAGTGCGTTTTGGCGATTCGCTTTTTATGTTGCGTTTTTACTCGGGGCTTCCAAAAAGCAACCAAAAATATTGATAACACCATCAGGCTTCACTACATGCTAAAACTCGTATCAATTTATGGTTCTGTGTTTGTTACCTATTTGCTTAAAACCCCTTGCGTTTCTTTTCCATGTGAGTATATATATATATATATATATATATATATATATCTATATATATCATGAAGCACTATTTCTTTTGGTGTAAATCAAGCGAATATATATCTTAAATGTACTTCTAACTGAGTATATCTTCCCATGTACTTCTAACTGAGTATATCCACTCGTGTACTTCTGAGTACATCTTCCCATGTACTTCTAACTGAGTATATCCTCTCGTGTACTTCTAACTGAGTATATCTTCCCATGTACTTCTGAGTATATCTTCCCATGTACTTCTAACTGAGTATATCTTCCCATGTACTTCAGAGTATATCTTCCCATGTACTTCTAACTGAGTATATCTTCCCATGTACTTCTGAGTATATCTTCCCATGTACTTCTAACTGAGTATATCTTCCCATGTACTTCTGAGTATATCCACTCGTGTACTTCTGAGTATATCTTCCCATGTACTTCTGAGTATATCTTCCCATGTACTTCTGAGTATACCTTCCCATGTACTTCTGAGTATATCTTCCCATGTACTTCTGAGTATATCTTCCCATGTACTTCTGAGTATATCTTCCCATGTACTTCTGAGTATATATTCCCATGTACTTCTGAGTATACCTTGCCATGTACTTCTAACTGAGTATATCTTCCCATGTACTGACTGTGTATCTATCTTGTCAGACTAAAGGATGCAGACAGTCCCAGTACAATAGCGTAGTGGTCCGGTTTGTAAGTACACGCCTAGCATATCGCATGTCACTCTATCCGTGCCAGCGATAACAGTAATTGTGATACAGAGACGTGCACGTGACGACAACGCATGCAACACATTATGATATAATGTGGTCATCCCTGCACGGGGACACGGGTGGCCCAGTCGTCTAAGGCGCCGCTATTCGCCGTGCAGAGTTGCGTCCCTTGGGCACGACAGAAACCTATGATTGTGGGTTCGAATCCCGGTTAGCCCCAATTATGTTTCTAGAATTGTCAGCACCATACCCGTGCTCGTGGGTTTCACCGAAGTGGTAAACGTCTAAGACCTGCATCACTTCGGGCTTCCCTCCCACATTAAGTTGACACGCCGTGATATAACTGGAATAATGTTGAAAGCGGCGTTAAATCTCTCTATCTCTCTCTACATGTTATCAGGCAGACTGACACTTGTGTTTCAGGTACAGCCACAATAGAGCCTGTCACCGGCTCAGTGATGGAAGGGAAGAGCTACACGTTCACCTGCACATTCTACCTGTCCTACAGACTGACACTTGTGTTTCAGGTACAGCCACTGTGGAGCCTGTTACCGGCTCAGTGATGGAAGGGAAGAGCTACACGTTCACCTGCACATTCTACCTGTCCTACAGACTGACACTTGTGTTTCAGGTACAGCCACAATAGAGCCTGTCACCGGCTCAGTGATGGAAGGGAAGAGCTACACGTTCACCTGCACATTCTACCTGTCCTACAGACTGACACTTGTCTTTCAGGTACAGCCACAGTGGAGCCTGTCACCGGCTCAGTGATGGAAGGGAAGAGCTACACGTTCACCTGCACATTCTACCTGTCCTACAGACTGACACTTGTCTTTCAGGTACAGCCACAGTGGAGCCTGTCACCGGCTCAGTGATGGAAGGGAAGAGCTACACGTTCACCTGCACATTCTACCTGTCCTACAGACTGACACTTGTGTTTCAGGTACAGCCACTGTGGAGCCTGTCACCGGCTCAGTGATGGAAGGGAAGAGCTACACGTTCACCTGCACATTCTACCTGTCCTACAGACTGACACTTGTGTTTCAGGTACAGCCACTGTGGAGCCTGTCACCGGCTCAGTGATGGAAGGGAAGAGCTACACGTTCACCTGCACATTCTACCTGTCCTACAGACTGACACTTGTCTTTCAGGTACAGCCACAGTGGAGCCTGTCACCGGCTCAGTGATGGAAGGGAAGAGCTACACGTTCACCTGCACATTCTACCTGTCCTACAGACTGACACTTGTGTTTCAGGTACAGCCACTGTGGAGCCTGTCACCGGCTCAGTGATGGAAGGGAAGAGCTACACGTTCACCTGCACATTCTACCTGTCCTACAGACTGACACTTGTCTTTCAGGTACAGCCACAGTGGAGCCTGTCACCGGCTCAGTGATGGAAGGGAAGAGCTACACGTTCACCTGCACATTCTACCTGTCCTACAGACTGACACTTGTGTTTCAGGTACAGCCACTGTGGAGCCTGTCACCGGCTCAGTGATGGAAGGGAAGAGCTACACGTTCACCTGCACATTCTACCTGTCCTACAGACTGACACTTGTGTTTCAGGTACAGCCACAATAGAGCCTGTCACCGGCTCAGTGATCGAAGGGAAGAGCTACACGTTCACCTGCAGCACCACGCAACAGGGACACTTTTTGGTCTATTTTAAGCAGGGGACAACCACCTATTGCCGGGTGGATAGCATGGGAACGGATAGGGGACTGGAGTGTGGGGTTGTAAGAGGGGACCCCTCCAAGTTTTATTTCAAAATACCCGTCACGTACCGGAACCACTCAAGTACACATTGGTCATGTCAGGCTCGTGCAGACAAGAGCAACATGGCAAGTCTAGATGTCTGGTGTGAGTAGAATTATCCTCCTACTCTCTCTCTCTCACTCTCTCTCTCTCTCTCCCTACTACTCTCTCTCTCTGTGTCGCTCTGTCTCTCTCACTCTCTCTGTGTCGCTCTCTGTCTGTCCCTCTCTCTCACCTACTCTCTCTCTCCTACTCTCTCCTCTCTCTGTGTCGCTCTGTCTGTCTCTCACCTACTCTCTCTCACCTACTCTCTCTCCTCTCTCTGTGTTGCTCTCTGTATGTCTCTCACTCTCTCACCTACTCTCTCTCTCACCTACTCTCTCTCTCACTCTCTCACCTACTCTCTCACCTACTCTCTCTCCTCTCTCTGTGTCGCTCTCTGTCTGTCTCTTACTCTCTCACCTACTCTCTCTCTCTCTCTCTCTGTTGCTCTCTGTCTGTCTCTCACTCTCTCACCTACTCTCTCTCTCACCTACTCTCTCTCACCTACTCTCTCCTCTCTCTCTCACCTACTCTCTCTCTCCTCTCTCTGTATCGCTCTCTGTCTGTCTCTCACCTACTCTCTCTCTCTCACCTACTCTCTCTCCTCTCTCTGTGTCGCTCTCTGTCTCTCTCTCACTCTCACCTACTCTCTCACCTACTCTCTCTCTCCTCTATGTGTCGCTCTCTGTCTGTCTCTCACCTACTCTCTCTCTCACCTACTCTCTCTCCTCTCTCTGTGTCGCTCTCTGTCTGTCTCTCACTCTCTCACCTACTCTCTCTCACCTACTCTCTCTCTCTTCTCTCTGTGTCGCTCTCTGTCTGTCTCTCACCTACTCTCTCTCTCTCTCACCTACTCTCTCTCTCCTCTCTCTGTGTCGCTCTCTGTCTGTCTCTCACTCTCTCACCTACTCTCTCTCTCTTCTCTCTCTCTCCTCTCTCTGTGTCGCTCTCTGTCTGTCTCTCACCTACTCTCTCTCACCTACTTTCTCTCCTCTCTGTGTCGCTCTCTGTCTGTCTCTCACCTACTCTCTCTCTCACCTACTTTCTCTCTCCTCTCTCTGTGTCGCTCTCTGTCTGTCTCTCACTCTCTCACCTACTCTCTCTCTCCTCTCTCTGTGTCGCTCTCTGTCTGTCTCTCACTCTCTCACCTACTCTCTCTCGCCTACTCTCTCTCTCCTCTCTCTGTGTCGCTCTGTCTGTCTCTCACTATCTCACCTACTCTCGCTCACCTACTCTCTCCTCTCTCTGTGTCGCTCTCTGTCTGTCTCTCACCTACTCTCTCTCTCACCTACTCTCTCTCCTCTCTGTGTGTCGCTCTGTCTGTCTCTCACCCTCTCACCTACTCTCTCTCCTCTCTCTGTGTCGCTCTCTGTCTCTCACCTACTCTCTCTCTCACCTACTGTCTCTCCTCTCTGTGTGTCGCTCTGTCTGTCTCTCACTCTCACCTACTCTCTCTCACCTCTCTCTGTGTCGCTCTCTGTCTGTCTCTCACCTACCCTCTCTCTCACCTACTCTCTCTCTCACCTACTCTCTCTCATCTCTCTGTGTGTCGCTCTCTGTCTGTCTCTCACTCTCTCACCTACTCTCTCTCACCTACTCTCTCTCTCCTCTCTCTGTGTCGCTCTGTCTGTCTCTCACTCTCTCACCTACTCTCTCTCTCTCACCTACTCTCTCCTCTCTCTGTGTCGCTCTCTGTCTCTCACCTACTCTCTCTCACCTACTCTCTCTCTCACCTACTCTCTCTCCTCTCTGTGCCGCTCTCTGTCTGTCTCTCACTCTCTCACCTACTCTCTCTCCCCTACTCTCTCTTCTCTGTGTGTCTCTCTCACTCACTCTCTCTCTCCTCTCTCTCTGTGTCGCTCTCTGTCTGTCTCTCACCTACTCTCTCTTCTCTGTGTGTCGCTCTCTGTCTCTCTCTCTCACCTACTCTCTCTCCTCTCTCTGTGTCGCTCTCTGTCTGTCTCTCACTCTCTCACCTACTCTCTCTCTCACCTACTCTCTCTTCTCTGTGTGTGTCGCTCTGTCTCTCTCTCTCACCTACTCTCTCTTCTCTCTGTGTGTCGCTCTGTCTCTCTCTCTCCTCTCTCTGTGTCGCTCTCTGTCTGTTTCTCACTCTCTCACCTACTCTCTCTTCTCTCTGTGTGTCGCTCTCACTCTCTCACCTACTCTCTCTCTCCTCTCTGTGTCGCTCTCTGTCTGTTTCTCACTCTCTCACCTACTCTCTCTCTCACCTACTCTCTCTTCTCTGTGTGTCGCTCTCACTCTCTCACCTACTCTCTCTCTCCTCTCTCTGTGTCGCTGTCTGTCTCTCACTCTCTCACCTACTCTCTCTCTCACCTACTCTCTCTTCTCTCTGTGTGTCGCTCTCTGTCTCTCTCACTCTCTCACCTACTCTCTCTCCTCTCTCTGTGTCGCTCTCTGTCTGTCTCTCACTCTCTCACCTACTCTCTCTCACCTACTCTCTCTCTCCTCTCTGTGTCGCTGTCTGTCTCTCACTATCTCACCTACTCTCTCTCTCACCTACTCTCTCTCTCCTCTCTGTGTCGCTCTGTCTGTCTCTCACTCTCTCACCTACTCTCTCTCTCACCTACTCTCTCTCCTCTCTGTGTGTCGCTCTGTCTCTCTCTCACTCTCTCCTCTCTCTTTGTCGCTCTCTTGTTTCGGACATTTGAGTGATACATGATATTGGTGTTCTGTGTTGTAGCTGCAGTATAAACATGATAATTTATTTTATATTTGTTTTAACTTTAAATGTTTTCATTTTGAAATTATAACTATTGCAACATATAAATCGTATCAAACAGACTCGAAGTCGAATTTATAGCTATGAGATAACATTCCTGTGAATTGTATGATTTTTCTCACAGCAGTAAAGTACACCTGATACAATCCGCGCTGTTCCAGACCCGCCGGCGATAAACAGTTTGACCGCCAACGCTGTAGCCAACAGAAACGTGGTCAACGTAAACGACACCGTTTCCTTGGTTTGTCGATACGAAGGTAACCCTCCCGCCGACGTCATCATCAGAAAGCAGAGCCGGAGTCTACAAACTGTAGTCGGCGATGTCGCTGTGAGGTCCACTCTGACAACAGTGAGTTGTCACGATATGGCGACCTATGTATGCCAGGCCTCAAATAGGTTTGGCTCTGCCTCATCAACTATTCGACTACTAGTCAGGTGTAAGTACAACTTTATCCTGGTGCAATCTGCCAGTGTCGCTATGGATACCTACTCGAGTTTACTCGGTTATAATAGGGGTCGGTCGGGTAGCCTGGTGGTTAAAGCGTTCGCTCGTCAGGCCGAAGACCCGGGTTCGATTCCCGACATGGGTACAATGTGTAAAGCCCATTTTCGTGATATTGCTGGAATATTGCTTAAAGCGACGTAAAACCATACTATGTGGTTAGGTGAGGTGAAATGGGATTTAACGTCGCGTCCAAGATTATTGCACTTATAAAGCGACGTGCATGCACGTGTGTGTGTGTGTGGCTGCTTGTACTAGTCCGGACTGATGCCGATTTATAGTGCTAGCCCCCTGATATACCATGCCGCAGTTTAACATGAATACCCCACTCAGACACAGTATACTGACTCCGAGCTGACCAGTCCTTGTTTTAGCCCCTTAATGCCGAGCGCCAGACAGGGTAACAACAAGTACCATCTATTAACGTCTTTTGGTATGACGCGGCCGGGGATCGAACCCCGGACCTTCCGCTCTCCGGGCGAACGCTCTACCACTAGACCACGGAGGCGGTCCCATACTATGTCAAAGATATTTCCACACAATGAAAATAAGCTATCTAGCTCTTAAACTGAATGTACAGATCCATAACGTGTATGCAATGGTAATACTGTCCTTGGTTATTTGTCCGTTAGCAGAATGTAAATGTTGATCAATATCCACCATATAAATTACGAATGTAAGATTCATCTTCGATGTGGATCCTTATTCAAATTTCACTTCGCTTGTATTAACGCACTCATGCCACGCCTTTGATTGTGACCGAGTCATGAAGTCTGGAATAAGCAAACCAGTGGTTGATATAATGAGCAACGAATCAAAACGATGCCCTCACACCCTCTCACAGAGGCGTACAACCCACTCAATCACTGTTCTCAAAGCGGCGTACATCCCACTCAATCATTGTTCTCACAGAGGCGTACAACCCACTCAATCACTGTTCTCACAGCGGCGTACAACCCACTCAATCACTGTTCTCACAGTGGCGTACAACCCACTCGGTCACTGTTCTCACAGCGGCGTACAACCCATTCAATCACTGTTCTCACAGCGGCGTACAACGCACTCAATCACTGTTCTCACAATGAGGTACAACCAACTCAATCACTGTTCTCACAGCGGCGTACAACCCACTCAATCACTGTTCTCACAGCGGCGTACAACCCACTCAATCACTGTTCTCACGGTGACGTACAACCCACACAATCAATGTTCTCACAGCGGCGTACAACCCACTCAATGACTGTTCTCACAGCGGCGTACAACCCACTCAATCACTGTTCTCACAGTGACGTACAACCCACTCAATCACTGTTCTCACAGCGGCGTACAACCCACTCAATCACTGTTCTCACAGCGGCGTACAACCCACACAATCACTGTTCTCACAGCGGCGTACAACCAACACAATCACTGTTCTCACAGTGACGTACAACCAACACAATCACTGTTCTCACAGTGACGTACAACCCACTCAATCACTGTTCTCACAGTGACGTACAACCCACTCAATCACTATTCTCACAGCATCACAGCATTCACAGGTTGGGGACATGTTTGGCCCTTTCGTCTAAGGTCGTAATTCGTTGTGCAGAGTTGCGTGCCTTAACGGTGCCAGGGTGATGGAGGGTTCGCGTTTCGCGTTTTCCCGTTGCTCGTGTGTTTCGTCCCAGGAATGAAATTCAGACCTGTACATTCGGGATTGACTTCAGATGCACTTGACTATATGTGATGTATCTCTGTTTAAAGCTGCGTTAAATTAATCTCATTCACTCACTCACTCACGCACGCACGCACGCACGCACGCATTCACTCACTCGCGCACGCACGCACGCACGCACTCACTCACTCACTCACTCACTCACTCACTCCACAGGTCCTCCAACCCAAGGTGCTTCCCAAGGTACAACCACAACCTCCCTTGAAGGGGACGTAACTCTGACCCTGACAGTGATGGCCTACCCTCGGCCTACCTTCACCTGGTTTGGCCCGCTTGGGAACCTGTTAGACGCAAACAATGGTTCTCTGGACGCTAATCTGAACGTCATCAGCAGGATTACCATTAAAGACGTCACTGATGATGACCTTGGAGTATACACAGTTATTGTCAAAAACGATCTTGGATCAGGAAATTTTACCGTCGCACTAGCCACAGAAGGTTTGTACATCTTTTGAACTTCACGTTCTTTAACTCGATAACTATCATTTTCCGTAACCATATACGTTACTATATAATCAGCGTTAACGTCATTTTCCGTTAGTTTATATAATATATTTAGCCTTAAACGTCAAGGGCATGTTCCGTTTGCATATATAAAACGTTCAGTGTCAACGTCATTTTAAAACTTTCAGCTGTTTAACAATGAAACCTTCCCCATATGTTCAAGAGTACGTGTTGTCGATTTGATAATGTTGCGTTTCTATGTCGATTGAGTATACGGTTAAATACATGCGTATATACATGTATGATTAATAACATATAACGGCATTTTAAACCGACAGAGAGGACGTATTCGCTTTCAAATGCCGCTTTGTCTGACCACTGGGGTCTCAGAGTTGACCATTGTGGAGTAGAGTTTCATGTGGATTGAACGTTCAATGTTTACCTAATTCGTTAGGCTATGGGCGCCGCCAGCACTGTAGACAATGTCATGACTTTTTCAGTCTTCTTGTACAGTATTTATAAAATGTTTAACAAACTATCTGTTAAATGATGTTAACAGGGCGTATTTAAGTTATTGTTTAGCGACTTATATGTATATTTAGCATATGATCGAACAAATTTGTGGATATGAGCAACAAAATGCAACATTTGTTAATCACTTCTGAAAAAATAAAATTCGACCTATGAGACCTATGAGACCTATGAGAGGTGTTGTCCATCAGAATCTACTAGTCATGGTCTGAATCCAGGTGGCTTACAGTGTTCGCTCGTTACGCCAAAAACTCGGGTTCGAATCCCAACATGAGCACAATGGTGAAGTCCATGTCTAAAGTGCGCCGTCATTGTACCGCCGGAATAGTGGTAAAGTCGTCGTAAAACCATATTCAATCAGTGAAAAAAGATTAAGCGAACTGTTTGTGCCTGTTGCAGATCCCGTTAGAGGGGGTATGGTGACCGGGCTTGTTATCGGCGGGATTGCCATTCTGGTGATTGTTGCAGATCCCGTTAGAGGGGGTTTGGTGACCGGGCTTGTTATCGGCGGGATTGCCATTCTGGTGATTGTTGCAGATCCCGTTAGAGGGGGTATGGTGACCGGGCTTGTTATCGGCGGGATTGCCATTCTGGTGATTGTTGCAGATCCCGTTAGAGGGGGTTTGGTGACCGGGCTTGTTATCGGCGGGATTGCCATTCTGGTGATTGTTGCAGATCCCGTTAGTGGGGGTTTGGTGGCCGGGCTTGTTATCGGCGGGATTGCCATTCTGGTGATTGTTGCAGATCCCGTTAGAGGGGGTTTGGTGACCGGGCTTGTTATCGGCGGGATTGCCATTCTGGTGATTGTTGCAGATCCCGTTAGAGGGGGTTTGGTGACCGGGCTTGTTATCGGCGGGATTGCCATTCTGGTGATTGTTGCAGATCCCGTTAGTGGGGGTTTGGTGGCCGGGCTTGTTATCGGCGGGATTGCCATTCTGGTGATTGTTGCAGATCCCGTTAGTGGGGGTTTGGTGACCGGGCTTGTTATCGGCGGGATTGCCATTCTGGTGATTGTTGCAGATCCCGTTAGAGGGGGTTTGGTGACCGGGCTTGTTATCGGCGGGATTGCAATTCTGGTGATTGTTGCAGATCCCGTTAGTGGGGGTTTGGTGGCCGGGCTTGTTATCGGCGGGATTGCCATTCTGGTGATTGTTGCAGATCCCGTTAGAGGGGGTTTGGTGACCGGGCTTGTTCTCGGCGGGATCGCCATTCTGGTGATTGTTGCAGATCCCGTTAGTGGGGGTTTGGTGGCCGGGATTGTTCTCGGCGGGATTGCCATTCTGGTGATTGTTGCAGATCCCGTTAGTGGGGGTTTGGTGACCGGGCTTGTTATCGGCGGGATCGCCATTCTGGTGATTGTTGCAGATCCCGTTAGTGGGGGTTTGGTGGCCGGGATTGTTCTCGGCGGGATTGCCATTCTGGTAATTGTTGCAGATCCCGTTAGAGGGGGTTTGGTGGCCGGGCTTGTTCTCGGCGGGATTGCCATTCTGGTGATTGTTGCGATCCCGTTAGAGGGGGTTTGGTGGCCGGGCTTGTTATCGGCGGGATCGCCATTCTGGTGATTGTTGCAGATCCCGTTAGTGGGGGTTTGGTGACCGGGCTTGTTCTCGGCGGGATTGCCATTCTGGTGATTGTTGCAGATCCCGTTAGAGGGGGTTTGGTGGCCGGGATTGTTATCGGCGGGATTGCCATTCTGGTGATTGTTGCAGATCCCGTTAGTGGGGGTTTGGTGGCCGGGCTTGTTATCGGCGGGATTGCCATTCTGGTGATTGTTGCAGATCCCGTTAGTGGGGGTTTGGTGGCCGGGCTTGTTATCGGCGGGATTGCCATTCTGGTGATTGTTGCAGATCCCGTTAGTGGGGGTTTGGTGGCCGGGCTTGTTATCGGCGGGATCGCCATTCTGGTGATTGTTGCAGATCCCGTTAGAGGGGGTTTGGTGACCGGGCTTGTTATCGGCGGGATTGCCATTCTGGTGATTGTTGCAGATCCCGTTAGTGGGGGTTTGGTGACCGGGCTTGTTCTCGGCGGGATTGCCATTCTGGTGATTGTTGCAGATCCCGTTAGTGGGGGTTTGGTGACCGGGCTTGTTATCGGCGGGATTGCCATTCTGGTGATTGTTGCAGATCCCGTTAGTGGGGGTTTGGTGACCGGGCTTGTTCTCGGCGGGATTGCCATTCTGGTGATTGTTGCAGATCCCGTTAGTTGGGGTTTGGTGACCGGGCTTGTTATCGGCGGGATTGCCATTCTGGTGATTGTTGCAGATCCCGTTAGTGGGGGTTTGGTGACCGGGCTTGTTATCGGCGGGATTGCCATTCTGGTGATTGTTGCAGATCCCGTTAGTGGGGGTTTGGTGACCGGGCTTGTTCTCGGCGGGATTGCCATTCTGGTGATTGTTGCAGATCCCGTTAGAGGGGGTTTGGTGACCGGGCTTGTTCTCGGCGGGATTGCCATTCTGGTGATTGTTGCAGATCCCGTTAGAGGGGGTTTGGTGGCCGGGCTTGTTATCGGCGGGATTGCCATTCTGGTGATTGTTGCAGATCCCGTTAGTGGGGGTTTGGTGGCGGGATTGTTCTCGGCGGGATTGCCATTCTGGTGATTGTTGCAGATCCCGTTAGAGGGGGTTTGGTGACCGGGCTTGTTCTCGGCGGGATTGCCATTCTGGTGATTGTTGCAGATCCCGTTAGAGGGGGTTTGGTGGCCGGGCTTGTTATCGGCGGGATCGCCATTCTGGTGATTGTTGCAGATCCCGTTAGTGGGGGTTTGGTGGCGGGATTGTTCTCGGCGGGATTGCCATTCTGGTGATTGTTGCAGATCCCGTTAGAGGGGGTTTGGTGACCGGGCTTGTTCTCGGCGGGATTGCCATTCTGGTGATTGTTGCAGATCCCGTTAGAGGGGGTTTGGTGGCCGGGCTTGTTATCGGCGGGATTGCCATTCTGGTGATTGTTGCAGATCCCGTTAGTGGGGGTTTGGTGGCCGGGATTGTTCTCGGCGGGATTGCCATTCTGGTGATTGTTGCTGTTTCCGTGGTCTTGATCAACCGAAAGATGAGGAAGGAAGACGACAATAGTAAGTACTTGTGCACTCAAAGTATGACCTTTCCATTTTGTTGTGATAATTACCCTTCATCTATATAACTCGCCTCAGACCACAATTTAACTAAGCGGCAAAAGAAAGTATAGGTTGGCAATTTGTAATTTTCCTAAAAACAGCGATAACTAGTGGAAAGTGGGTATTGGGAATATGACTGCCCAGGAACAGGTACCCCAAAACACCTCACCCGAACGCGCCACCTTTGACGGCGCTCGTGCGGTGACAAAAAAAATGTTTTCCCGCCTATGGCATAAACCGCACGTGCATGTAAAATGTATAAATGCGTTCGTCTGCAGGGTATATCCACACGTTATGAAAGCACACATAAGAAATGCCACGACTGCCACAGGAGCAGAGAGAGAGAGAGAGCCGTCGGTATGGCCCAAATGGGGGCAACACAGGTCCAAATTGCCGGGAGGTTTGGTTGTACACCATTGACAGTAGCCAGGCTGATTCAACGGTACAGGCAGACAGGGAGGACACAGGACAGGCCTAGAACCGGATGACCCCGAGTGACAACACCACTGGAAGGCGGTCAGATACGGCTCATTCACCTCTGCGAAACAAATTCGTGACGGCGACGGCAGCAACAGCGTTGGGAGATCCCATTAGCCAACGTACAGTACTACGACGGATTCGTGCTGCTGGAAGCCGAGCGTATCGTCCTTTCCGAGGAATGTTACTGACTGCTCAACATCGACGCCTGAGACTGCGATGGGCGAGGCAAGTTCTACGCTGGCAAGTGAGAAATTGGCGTCGAGTGCTGTTTACTGATGAAAGCAGTTTAACTTGTTTCGAAATGACGGCAGAAAACGAGTTTATCGACGCAGAGGGGAACGTTTGTCTCCGGCGTGTATTCGAGAGGTCCATCCATTCGGCGGGTAGGTGGCAAGGTGTGGGGCGGTATTTGTCAGAAAACTGATTTGGTGACTATACAGGAAAACCAGAACGCTGCGCAGTAAAGAGACCACGTGTTGCAGCCAGTTGTGCTTCCGTTCTTACAAAACCAACAGCAGGGGACATTGTTTCAACACGACAATGCCAGGCCCAATCCTGCAAGACTGACTCGGAACTTTCTAAACCAGCAGAACGTTGACGTTTTGCCCTGGCCTGCCCACTCACCCGATATGAATTCTATTGAACATCTGTGGGACCATCTTGACAGACAGATTAGAGTACGCCATCAGCCTCCCGTCAACACACAAGAATTGCAGCAGGCCCTGGCAACGTATCCCAGTCCACACACAGCATGCATTGAGGCACCTGGAGGTCATACACGCTACTGAAGGCAACTGTGTCGACAATGAACTTGTAGTGTGTCTGACATTTTTTGGGTGACATTTCAGACAAATTTTGAAAATGAAATTTCTTACCCTATCATTGTTAACCTTGAGCTTACATTACCAGTGATTGCACAACTTCATTCAAACTGTGGTTGATCAATCATTTGTTACCCCTCCCTAGATGATATTATAATTCACAACAAAACCTCTTCTTGTTATTTTTTTTTATCGATCATGGAAATCGACCTATACTTTCTTTTGCCGCCCAGTTTATTTCCATTCTTTTCTATCTTAAGTGGCATGTCAGAATGATGAGATCTGATTGGTTCGCGTGATCTTGATAAAATAATATGTATCCCGCCTAGGAGGGTAATACATTTCTCAGCGGGAGAATAAATCCCTTATACCCCAACACGAAGAAAACACGCTGCACGTGGATTTCTTGGCGGGAGAAAAAATCCCTCACACCCCGCTCTGAAGCAAAAAGCCGCACGTTTCTTCCTGCTTCAATGATTGTCACGTGATATAGCACAAGTTAACCGCCGCTCAATCAAACAGCTGAATTTGGTTTTGTTCATTTACATATTAAAACATGTCGGTTAGATACATTCATTGTAGCAGGATCACTCGGGGTACATGGGGATTTATAAGAGAGGGAAACACGTGGTTTATTGCTTGACAAAGTTGCCATTGTACAGTTTCTATTGAATGGACGACAAGAACAAGTACGTCCCATTTAAATTCGGGAAACCTAGAAATTCTCCGCGCCAGTCTCGGTCAAAGGTATTTACAAAATTCAACATGTTGTTTTCATGAAAATATACTAAGGAAAAAAAAATGAAAAGAAATATCTAAAAAAGATCAAAATTTAAACCATGTCACCCATGGTGACTTCTATATTGATCGCGGCTGAAATGAAACAAACACGAAATGGTTATTCGATGGTGATGTACTAGTATTTGATAAGGGTATTGTTGTGTTTTTGACTTCAAGTTTACAGTATTTCGGCAACTGTTTTCGGATTTGTAACGTTTCGCTAACGTTTGTAACTTTTGGGTCCTACTTCAAGCGTATACTTCCGTTGGCCCGGCAGGATATAGTCAACTATTCATCAATAAATGAAACCAATTAGCTTAACAATGTCGTCAAGTGGAGGCTTCGCATCCGAGTACTGCACCAAAGGGGTTCAGGGGGTGAGGTGGGGTTCAGGGGGTGAGGTGGAGTTCAGGAGGTGAGGTGGGGTTCAGGGGGTGAGGTGGGGTGAAATGGGGTTTAAAGTCGCGTCCTAGATTACTGCACTTATTCGGCAATCCGGTCCATCCTTTAATTCTAATAATGCCGATTGTCAGGCAGGGTAATAATGAACTCCGCTGTGAAGAGCTTACATAATGTCACTGTCCTGATGACGTCTTTAAACATGAAAAGTTTGTTTGTGACATGTTTATGACATGTTTGTGACAAACGACATCCTTGATTGTATAATGCTGAAAAATGTCAAATAGCAAACAAATTGATAATATTATGACAATATGTCATGTCGTCATGTCATTTGTAATGGGGTTTTTTAAAAATGTTTTTTTTATAATTACTATCTAGATTGATAAACAAATTTATCATATAATGGGTAGGTTTCTCGGCAGGATAAAGCCAACAGTTCAAAACGATATCCGTTGGGGTCAGATGCGGATAGAGATGCAAATATCAAAGGTCAAGTAGGGACTACTTTCACTGTTTATAAACAAACATGGCGTCGCCCTCGTCATTCAGCGATCCACACCACTGCCACAGGCTAATTTGTATATCATGTGACCGGACTTTTCTCTTGTTTGTAAACAAACGCGCTTTTTCAGAAATCAGTATAGAACGGACTAATGCAAGTATTTGGGGGCGCTTTACATATTGTTTTGCATAACTATATAGATATGCTACTACAACTGCGACAGTGAGTTGCATGACAATATATATATTTATGCATCAAAGTGACCGCGTCGCTAGCTCTCCGTTGGGCTTCGATGACAGCACGTGGAGCCGTACAACCAATGTAAACATAGGATAACTACGCAAAAACAAGTAGATTTTTACGTATTTGCATACTTTCTCAAAGAAGGTTAACCATTCTTTGACATTTGTTTATGAAAATGTGTAGACTTGTCAAACATGAAACGGATGAAAAGCATATGCAATATCTTGAATGGACTGTGAAAGATGTGACGAATCGTTACATGGCGCTGGCCTGTGGCAGGGGTACTATGCTAGCTGGCTGCCGGCCGCATGGAACTCTGGGTAGGAGAGTATCAGCGATCGAGTCAGAATTAACCATCAGGAATCTGGATAAACTACAGAGATAATTGCTTTCATTATCAAAAGAACAGTCTAATATACTGAAAATCAGTGTCTTACTGTGACGTAGCTGAGACATTTTATAAGTTTGGGCAACTTTGGTGATATAGGCTAAATTTCGACACAATTTTGCGAGGGCACGAGGCCTAGCCAAGCGGGATCAGTAGCCATATCTGTGCTTGTAGACCTCTGCGGCTTGAACCTTTCTCCACAAATTAAAATAGTTGGATTAGGCCGAAATATGTTTAAATTGTTACCGTGTTTCGTTTTGTCGCTGTGTGTACATCTGACTACACTTCTTAATGTTATGACAGGACAGACCGACTGTCAACAACGTCTGACCGTGGCCGTGACGTCTCATAGACTATAGGGTCAGAGTCGCTTCCCTTTGACAAAGGGCAGTTACTCTAGCGGACCGACCGATGGATTGCCGCGATAGGAAATTAAAAACAATTGTTGTTTTGCGTGTATGATGCTTCGCCACTGTAATATACTATAAGGAAGAGATTTCTGTTGGAACTATATTGGGTACTGCCACTGTCCGACTGACACATCACTTACCCTGTGATGTAATAAATATTAATGCGCGCATTCCAGGAAAACTCGCAATGTTTTGGTAATGTTTGTGAGAGAGGGAGAGCGATTTTGAGGCACAAAATTAAAGAATGACACTTATGATGAAGAGGTTATCACGCTTGTGTGTTTGGGATGGTAAATATCCTGTATTAGGAATAAACACTATGTATTTAGTTCGCCAAGGCTCGCTAAATACAATGTTTATTCCTAATGCAGGATATATGCCATCACCAAACACACTCGCGTGATAACCTCTATGTACCATCTTTGACGTTTGTAGGTATGACGCGGCCAGGGTATCGAATCATCGACCTTCCACTCACCTGACACCATGGAGCACCATGACAGAGTTGTTTCAGACCCCGACCTAGTTAGCTCGCACCATGACAGAGTTGTTCTAGACCCCAGCCTAGTTAGCTCGCACCATGACAGAGTTGTTCTAGACCCCAGCCTAGTTAGCTCGCACCATGACAGAGTTGTTTCAGACCCCAGCCTAGTTAGCTAGCACCATGACAGAGTTGTTTCAGACCCCGACCTAGTTAGATCGCACCATGACAGAGTTGTTCTAGACCCCAGCCTAGTTAGCTAGCACCATGACAGAGTTGTGTTAGACCCCAGCCTAGTTAGCTAGCACCATGACAGAGTTGTTTCAGACCCCAGCCTAGTTAGCTCGCACCATGACAGAGTTGTTTCAGACCCCTCCCTAGTTAGCTAGCACCATGACAGAGTTGTTTCAGACCCCTCCCTAGTTAGCTCGCA